AAATTTTCCTATTTTGAAAAGAGTTTCTAAAATGAAAAGTTTTCAAAAATGAAAATTTTTCTATTTTAGAAATCGATTTCCTAATTTGGAAGTTAGTTTCAAAATTTAGAAATAAAGAACCTAAAAGGAAAGGAGTTTCTTAATTTAGGTTAAATGGTATTTTGAAAAATTATTTCCTAATATGGACCTCGCTAAAATAATCTAAGAATATTTATTTAGATAGTCCAAATAAATTAATTGGGCTACAATAGTTTTCGCCCATTAGATTTAATTAAAAAGCTTAAAGATAATTTTGATGGGAGGATAAACATCAACCTTATCGGATAAGGATGAATATTTTAAAGATAAACATTAACCTTTTAGATAAGGTTCAATGTTTTAAAAGATAATAATTAAGTAGTCCATATACAAAATAATTCCTCATCCTTGGAGGATAAAGAAGCAACAACGTAGAGTTCTTTATGGACTTAAAGCCGCTACTCTCCTTGTCCTTGGAGAATAAGGAAACTCTCCTCCTACATATAGGAGGAAAGGTATGGCAAGGAGAAATAGATGACCAAAAAAGAGTATTTTAGCCAAGCAAAATTGTGAGATAAGATTCGGCCAATAAAAGAAAAAAAAGGTGAGAATTTCGACCAGCCTTCAAAATCATCTAGGGCACACGACCAAGAGACAAAATAAAAGAGAAAATAGTTTTCTCCTAAACCCTAGCAAGAAATACTCTTTCCTCCTCCTTTAAGGTTGTCGCAAAGTTATTCGGGATTGATTTCTAGAGGAAATACTTAATCGGAAAAGGTGGAGTTAGCACCTAATTAATTTTGAGTGCTTCTTAGTGTATACTCGGGCTACGTGGATTATCAATAGAGGTCGGAAACTTGGATGGCTAATCAAAGAAAAAGAATTTAGATCTACGTTACAATAGGTAATCCTTTACTTTTAGCTTATTATTCATATATGTATGATTAGTAGATTCAACGACATGATTTTGGGGCCTTAGATGGAGAATTTTTATTTATTTATTTCACACCTTCATAGGATACATGATCCTTTAAAGTCTTTCCTAGAATTTATATTATTTTTGGTTTTGCATGGCATATTCATTACTTGTGTTAAACATATTATCGAATACATTTTTGTCAATATGCATAATATCCAGATTGTGCCAAATGAGATTAGTACTCTAATATGAAAAATTTTACAAATTTATTTACATTTTTTCCAACTTAACATTTGAGATATTCTATTGTTATACTAATCTGCATCCTTTTCCATCACCTTCATCAACCCCCAATATGTTATATGTTGAAAAATCTCTACTCCAAACTGAATTGGAGGAGTGTTATCCCTTATAAATTTACTTTTGGTAAATAACTTCTTGTTTCTCTTAAATGGATGATCTTCGAGTGGAAACTTTTAGTGATTTTCAAACCACGAGGTCTTTCTTCGATTGGAAGAATTCTTCATGCAATAAGGACATGTAAATTTCATCATAGTACTATAACCGGACGATATTGAATATATAAAAAATTTATTGATTTTCTACATCACAATGGTACATAATAGAAAATTCTACTTTCAATAAACATTGTAGGTCACCATAATCATTTTCCACAAATGAAGCAACTTCATAATTAAAAGTTATAATAACACGTTTAATTTATACTTTATGTTTGATGGTCTCAAAATAATAACTATTAAGAATAAATATTCTTCTTTCGTACATATCTATAGTGACAAATTATAAGACATCACAATTATCGGTGAAGAAGAATATTTAGCACCGGATTGATTAAGAGGTTGAAACTCGTCGGTGTAAACTCCTAATCCGACATTTTTTCTTTCGATTGAAAAGAAGGATGTGTTTGATCAAAACACCACCATGTAATAAAGTCGAGCAATGACACATGACTTATTCATTTTTAACCTCATGGCCGATGTGCCATATCATGTGTTTAGTTGTGACATTCGATGTATACAATATTTGCAAATGCAAGGTAAGCGAAAAGTAATACATGTTTTTAATGGAACATGTTTTGCTTTTATTGATTCCTCGTATTAGACTTTGACATCGAGGATGTTCCTAAAACTTGTGAGCGATTAATTCATTATCTTCACCCTAATAACTCATGCACCATTTGTTATAACGAATGGATCTTTTTTACTAGTCAACCATTCCTTTCACTAACTTTTTAATGCTCTAAAAATTTTCTATCATACGATTATCAACGGGCATTAACTTCTTCATCGAGTCACATATTTCATCATAACACCTTTCGAAAAAATAGTGTTTTGACTTGAGGTTTAACAATCGAGCAACTCGCAATGAGAAAATGAGAATTTTATATAGAGCTTATTAAGCACATAATTGAAAGCTTCATAAGATCACACATAGCTTAATGAGAAAACATGTGCTTTGATTTTGTGAATATGGTCTTTATATTTTAATGAATTTTTGAATCTTGTTTTCAAAAAGTGTTATGATTTTTTATGGATTGAGTCATTTCTTTGAATAAAAAAAATTTTCTTCTCTCTTTCTATGTTTTTATTATTGATTTGAAATCAAGAGATATTTATTTGAAAGTATCATTTGTCATTTTATACTATCCAAATTAGAAAAAGTAAAATGATAATTTTGTTCAAGTTCTTTCAAAATTGATCAATTTTGAAAATATATCGTGCAAATGATAAGAAACAATCTCTTTTTTTAAAACTAAAAACACCTTTTCAATACCTAATAAACCTTTTGAGAACAATTTTTTCTAAGTTTATTGCTTGATGCTTAAGACAAGAAATCAAATGATATGATCTCTTAACTAATGATAAGTAATATGCATTCGGGTCATAACTTCGCTTGACTCACTCGCTTCTTCTATATTGTTAGCTTTAGGGTTTTTCGGATCAATTATATTTTTTAAATGAGACTAAAACTTATCATATTCGAGATGAAAAAAAACTATTTTGAATCTTTAAGGATTTCTTTCAATGATAACCTACGGTAGAATCATTTCTCGATTGAGATGGATTGCTAGTTTGCGTTTTGTACGAAAAAGAAATGGGGGTGCATTGTATATATATGTTTAGGTTCAAATTTAGGATATTGTATAGTTTATTGGATTTAAATATACTTTTTTTTTTTTTTCAAAATGAATGATGAGACTCGAAAATGTAGACAAATATTTTTGTTACGGTGTCAACTTGGTTTAGGAGTGACCGTTTAGAGCAAGTCAACTCCGTAAGGATAAAACTTGACGTAAGGAATGTATTCTAACAGAAAAATAAAGAATACACCCGTGAATTAAATGAGTAAATATTAAATAAAAATAGAGTCCATCGCCTCGTCATTAATGATCCAAAGCTGATTCTCCACTATTGACTTTTTTTTTGGTTGCTGACATTCAAAAGCTGATTCTCCTCCTCATTAATGATCAAACCTACATGCAGAATGGAAACACGTCTTTACATGGGTCTATAATTCAACAAATAGAGAGCATGAAGCTGTTGATTTAGGCTGCTGATTGGCTTGCTTTCCTTCGCTTTCAAAGCTATTATCGTAACCGAGGTAGAGCAATTCTTTATTAACACTACAAAAGAATAGAATATAATTTCCTCAACATTACTTTAATTTTCTTTTCAAAAAGCTGAGTACGTACAACTCTTTTTTGGAATTTTATTATCATGCAGCTCCTTGGGGTTCCGTCAATACAACCAAGCAAGAGGTCCTACTTGCTGTTTTCCAGTGATTTAAAAAAACGCGGTTTGTTGTCGTCAACATAAAATAGAGTTTTTTTTTTTTTTTTTTTTTGAATTCCATCAATATAGCCAAAAGCTCCTACTTTGTTTTTTCTTCTTTTTCGCCTTAGACTAGTGACATATATAACGGATAAGAGATAACCATCCTCCTTCTTTGACCATGCACCATCGATGTGAGCAGAAATAATAATACTATATCCACATGTGATTAATTTGGCGGTAAGTTATTTTTAGCGGCTTAATAATTACCTACTTATTATTTGTGATGAGGCTGCACGTAGGTAGGTATGTATTTGAACATGCAGGAATTTGAATTCTATAGAAGAGACTGCAATAAAGCAATTTCTTACAATTGTTGTTGATCTATATATATATATATATATATATATATATATATATATATATATATATATATATTTATGACTTGAAGTTGACGGTATATGTGATATTTTTAATTTTGATATACAAATGCATGCGTATTTAAAAAGAAAAAAAAGTATTAATATGCATTTTCTCATATGCAATAAAAGATTTGTTCTAAGAAGCGAAAATTAATTCGAACAAAAAAAAAAAAAGAACAGTTGAAAAGTTCTGTAATTAACTTCAAAAGAATATTGGTTTAAAGATAAAGGAGATTATTTCCTCTTCTGACTTCCTAAATTCAGTTTTGGAGTCCGTCTAGAAATTTTATTATTTCTTTTGATCTATTAAATAGATGTAGAAAATATGCATTTAAAAAATTAAAAAATTTGACTTGTTCTTAATTGAATAATAAATTAATCTGGAAATATTCTTCATCATCTAATGAAAAAAAAGTTTTTATTTTTTTCACATATTTTCGAATAAATTTATATATTAATTAATTTCTTTTTTTCAAACGATTGAACACCCACCAACATCGAAAAAAAAAAAAAAAAGCAAAACATTTTAAACCACGGCACCAATCCCCTCAAGTTAGCTACGGCATACTTCACAATTAAGATCAACTATAATTAAAGTCGGGCTAGCTAGTAGTAGGTGTTCACATCCATCAGGGCAAATTCAGATCTACGTGACAATTTTTTAAAAGCCATTGACTGTAGTTGCAAGTTGGTCTTACTAGGTGAACTTAATGATCAAACAACTGTTATAGGAATATACTATCTTAGCTTGGCAATCCTCACAAAAAAAAAAAAAAAAAGTTCTCTCAGTAGAGAAGAGCCAGAAAACAACAGACTTGGCATTCTTTAGGCATATTTTGGTTATTAGAGATGTTTTTTTCCCACAGATATGCTTTCCTCATATCAGTTCTAACTTTGAGTTGCTTGGAGACACAAAGATTGGCTGCTGCTACTCTTCCTCAAGATGAGGGTAAGTATGCATAATCTATCCATATTTGCTGTTTTCTTTGGTAGATGATATTGTGATGTCAAAAGTTTCTTTGTGCTTGATAAGAATATAGTAGAAGGATCTTTAGTTTTTATGACTATAGCAGTAACTTGTATCTTTGTTAGACAGAATCTAGTGTCTATTGGGAGTTTATAGTAGACGTCAACGACATTTCTCAATTATGAAACGACCCAAGCACCCATTATTTGAGGTGAAGTAATGTTAACAGTTACATGAAACATGGCTGCCTGTAAGGATTATTTCATCTGGGTTACAAAGAGAAGTTTCTGTCACTTAAACTTACAAATTTGTGCCAATTATTAAGGTTTATGCCGGTTATAGTTATTAGTACTACTCTGGTAGAAATTCCCAGTTCTTTTTTGTTCTTATGGATTCGAAATTAGTTTTTAGCTTTGGTTGTAAAAAAATAAGAAGAAGAAGAAGAAGAAGAGGTTGATGAAGAAAAGGTTAGCTAGTCTGTAGTTTTGAGTTCTATGTTTGCTGGATTTAATATCTTGAACTAATTTTTGTTTCAAAATGTGACTCTGCAACTATTGTTTGTTGATGGATGTGATCTAGTGGATGCTCTTAACCTAGTTGCTAAGAAGATGGGAGCCACTAGCTGGAATTTCAATGCTGATTCTTGTGGAGATTATCTTCCTCGAGTCCGACCGACGGATCCTGAGAGGAACATCACTTGTAACTGCAGATTTGAGAACAATACCTGCCATATTATTTCCCTGTATGTTTGTTTTCTCTCTCTGAACTGAACTTTGAAAAAATCGAAGGACTTTAAATCTCCACTCTTCCTTTATATTTGTATAGAGATGTGAATTCACCTAGTTTAAACTAGGATTCATATGGTGTCTAGTATTATTAAAACTCTATTGAATCTAGATAGACAAACATGTTTTATAAGAAATAGAATGTTGATGGTTAATTCATCTTAAAATAGGTGTAATTTTTTTTATGCAATTAGTAGCTTGTAGAATTATTGTGTTTGGGTTGGTAGCATTGCTTGTTTCTGTATATAGGTGCTTGTATGATAAAGCTCATAATTTAGCTTTACTTTTTGGCTAAAAAGTAATTTTGGATTTCTTTTTTTTTTCCCCTTGAATTTCAGGAAGTTCAAGCGGTTTAACCTTGCAGGAGAACTTCCACCTGAACTCGTTCAGCTCCCTTATCTTGAGAGCATGTAAGCATATATATATGTGTGTCCATGTTGCGTGTGTGCATCCTTCGCGTTTTGTTTTCACATGGGAGTCGAATTACTTATGTTTGCCTTGTTATTTCTGAGAGAACAACAGGGGATTCATATAGTTGTTTCTTTTCTTATGCATTTTTCTTTTTGTTTCCTGGTCATCTATCGAATAAGAAATGATTTGTGAAGAGTTTTATACTCATGTTGTACTGGTTTGCCAGTGATCTTTCTTACAATTACCTGAATGGGACTATACCACGTGAATGGGCTTCGTTGCAGCTGAAATCGATGTAAGCTATCGTTTTCTTCTTATCTATCTTCTTTTTTAACCGGCAACTTGTTTGTTTAACTGAGAAACACTAGTGCAGTGCTGTTCTTGCAAATCGGTTATCAGGGAGTATTCCAAGCTATTTGGGGAACTTTACCAGTCTAACATACTTGTAAGTTTTCATATTCAGTTTTACTGGGTTTTTTCATGACACTATATTATAAAATATAGTTGAAAATTTAGGCCTGGGCTATAGTTTCTTACGGATTTGTTGATTATATTTATAGTTTTGCTGAATAGCATGAAAGAAATGAAGTTAGTGGTTTATGCAAAATTGCCTTCTTTTTTTCTCTCTCTCTCTTAAAGAAAAAACACTGATTTTTTCTGTACATATGTTCAATGGAGTTATAATGTACCAGGTTCTCCAATTACTTTGTCATTCTGCATTTCTGGAGATATTAATTTGTTGAGGTATTTTGATACCATGAATTGTTCTAGCAGTTTCATTGTAATTTCTTAACAGGGACCTTGAATTAAATCAATTTTCTGGAATGATCCCGGTTGAGCTCGGGAAGTTAGTTAACCTTAAAACTTTGTAAGTGATTTCATGGATGATTGTTTGTCATCTTGCAGCCGGAGTGTTTCTGGAGATTGATGTTAATTTCTCTTGCAGTATTCTTTCCTCGAACAAATTGGATGGAAATTTGCCAAAGGAACTTGCTGAGCTGAAAAACCTGACTGACTTGTAAGCATTTCAGAATGAAACCACTGTCACGCTGTACATAACGATTTAAAAGGAATAAAGTGTAAATGATCTTCATTCCACAATGCAGTCGGATAAATGATAACAGCTTCAATGGGAGTATACCAGAATTTATACAAAACTGGAAGCAACTTAAAAGATTGTAAGACTTCCATATTTCCAAAGGTCTTTTATTCCTTTCCAATGTTATGAATAAGGGAAGAAAGGAGGAAAGTTAGCTTGTTTTCAGGCTCTCAAAGTTTGTTGGTTGATTTGATTCTGATCTAATTCAGCGAAATGGTAGCTAGTGGACTGGAAGGACCCATTCCATCCTCCATCTCTGCTTTGGAAACATTAACAGACTTGTGAGTAAAATTTCTTGATTATTCTACTACAAAAGTCAAATGATCAATTGCATTATTTTACTTAGTGAATTCTGTATTGTTCATTATTGAAGGAAATTTTCATAAGGGAACATTTAATTACTATCATTTTATAAGCGTACTTGCCATTTGATGTGCAGGAGGATCGCTGACATAAATTTCACAAATCAGTCATTTCCTGATCTTAGTAACGTAATGGGCCTCTCACGGCTGTATGTTCGCTTCTTATTCTCAGCTCTGTTCATGAATGCATACAATTAGGTTACCATATGACCAGTACTTCTGACATAGTCATTGTTGGAGTTCCAGGTTGTTGAGGAATTGCAATATTTCTGGAGAAATTCCTCCATACATCTGGGAAATGAGTAAACTGCGAATTTTGTAAGCACAGCTTATGATTAAAACATCTCCAGATTTATGTGTCCAACTAGTTTATGCATGTCGTAGAGCAAAATAAATCATTGGGATGTGCAAACAGATTTTTATCATCTGACATATCAGAAAGTAATCACTAGGCCTTGAATTCATATGCATTTCCATTGCTTGCACAGGGATCTCAGTTTTAACACGTTACATGGGAAGCTTCCAAGTGCCATAACCACAGAGACACTGGTATTTATGTAAGTAATGGAACCTCTAGATTATAGCATGTCATAGTACGTTAACTCGCAATACCCATGACACTAACCACTCCTTGTTGTCTGGATCAGCTTTCTAAGTGGAAACCATCTCACAGGAAATATACCAATGTTTAGGAAAGGGATGAGTGTGTATGTATCTTTATCTCTCTGTCTTTGTTACGTAAAGTTTCTTCTGTTCATCGAGGAACATGTGCACATACATCCTTGTAAAGCCACAATGCACGTTTTGTGTGCATTTGGTTTCATCGAACTTGTCATGATATCATCCTAGTGCTAGGTAGAAACAAAATCACACATCAGACTATCACCATTGTCATTTTACCCTGAAGCTTCATTTTCACTTCATACAAACGATAGTGATAGAACACCCCATACTCCCATAGTATTCTATCAAAGCTGCTGTGGCACTATATTTTTTGGAATTTTTTCCTATGTATAAGCTGGAAAAATAGTACTTATTTGGTATAATTTGGCCTTCTTTCAAAGTAAGAAATGATAAAAATAACGGTTAATTTCCTGGAATTTAAGAAGAAAAGATAATGATCCCAAAGTGTGTTTTTCTTTTATTAGAGAGGAAAAGTTTATAGATGCTACGGTTAGAAGGCACACTCTTTGATTCTCAAAATTCATATTCCTTCATAATTATACATCAGAATCACAACATATTGAGAAGATGGTTCTGTTTTCTTTCTACATGCAGAGATCTTTCCTATAATAATTTCTCACAACAAAACTCTGGGCAGCCTGCTTGTCAGCAGAAAACGTAAGTACCACCTCTCTCTCTCTCTCTCTCTCTGCATCTGTGCGTGTGTGCTCATGCAAGTGTTGAAAAACTTTCTGCTTCTGTATATTCCTCATTCTTCAGCGTTATATGGGAGATCTCAGTATTGCATTATCTATAATTTCAATTTTACTTTACCAGGGATGTAACCCTAAACTTGTTCCGAAGTGCTTCAATGGGAAATGACATGTAAGTTCCTTTTCCTGATTTTTTTTTTCACTCATAATATAAACTAGATTTCCTTTGTTACTTCAAATTGGCATGACATCTCCTTGGGAAAATCTTTTTTTTTTTTTTTTTCCTGCAAAGTTGACCATACACAATATCTCTGATACTAATTCGTTCTTTGCTTCCTTTACCTAGAGGAGGAGCATGCATGGATGATCTCACTTGTGATAAATGTAAGTGCATTATTCAGAGATTTATTTTCAATTAGTTATAGTGATAATATTTCCTTTTCATGAATTAGGCTTTAGCAGACTCCTGGATCAATTGCTTTGTTGTAACAAAATATAGATATCCTCCGTGATTCAACTTAAATGCAGAGTTTTCCATTCTTGACTCTGAATGTCAGTAGCAAGACAATAGATATAACTATTTATGCCTGCATGCACGCACGTATATATGCTTGTCTTCAAGATTTCAAGTTTTTACAAGTGAAATGTCACAAGGAAAATGTCTCTTATTGATGTTATAACTATTTATGCCTGCATGCACGCACGTATATATGCCTGTCTTCAAGATTTCAAGTTTTTACAAGTGAAATGTCACAAGGAAAATGTCTCTTATTATGTCCATTCCACCTATCTGGCTACCATTACCCAGTTTACCTATCAAAACGTATAGAATCTTTTTGTCCTACCATCAAATTGTTTTACCAATAATTGAAATATTAAACGTGAGATGATTGTTTTCATGGGTTGTTCTCTCCAAATGCATTGCCTAAGCTGCAAGGTTGTCCTTTTCCTCTTGGCAGACGGGCACTCTTTGTACGTTAATTGTGGAGGACAAAATGTCAAAATAAATGGCAGCACATACGAAGGAGACGGAGCGGTTAGTGGTGGTGCTGCAATGTTCTATCAGAGTGATGAAGAATGGGGACTTAGCAGCACTGGAGACTTCATGGATGACAATGATTTCCAAAACAGTGCTTACACTGAAAACATTCCATCGTTAAATATTAATGAATTGTACCAAACAGCACGCATTTCTCCTATTTCACTTACTTATTATCGCCGCTGTCTGGAAAATGGGAATTACACCGTGAGACTACACTTTGCTGAGATCAGATTCACTAATGATAATACATATAACAGCCTTGGAAGAAGGTTGTTTGATGTCTATATTCAGGTAATTAATTACATGCCCTGTAGATTGTGAGATAAGTCTGAATAACACAATATCACAATTGAGAGTTGAAATATGTAGCCATTCGCATATTTAAGCCACTGTGTTGATCTGTGTCATGGTGCTTTAAAATTCATTTTAGAAGGCTAATTTTCAAAAGAAAAAGCATTCTTTAGATCCTTGTACAATAAATGACTTGTTACTGACAATACGATCATGGTTCTCTGTTTGTGTAATGTCAATACACAAGTTCAACATTTTCAAATTAGGTTGTTTTGCAGAGTTGCTTTCCTTTGGTCTCATGCTTAGATGCAAGATATTTATTTCTGTATAACTTATGTTCGTCTAAATGATGCAAATGAGGTGCTATTGCTCTACTTTATTGCAGAATAAACTAGTTGAGAAGGATTTTGATATAGAAGTTCAAGCTGCTGGGGTTGCCAAGCCAGTCACAAAAATACACAATGCTACTGTCACAAATAATATCTTGGAGATCCGCTTATATTGGGCTGGAAAAGGGACTAGAAGAATTCCTGTTAGTGGAGTCTATGGCCCCCTCATATCAGCTATTTCTGTTGATCCTAGTGAGAAATTCTTGCCTTGGTATCTGCTGCTATGGTTACTGTTGTGTATAGTAGTGGATGATCACATTCTCAAGAACCGCAGAAGTTTGTGAAATGAATAAACTAGCGTCTTTTTCTGGTCAGTTAAAAATGTTCTCGCAGTGAGAGGAAATGTTAGGGGTGATAACTTATGGTAGTAGCGTGCATGATGCTCTAGTGTGTCATTCTAGTTGCTGCAAAAAAAGGTGAAAAATAATTAGAAAAAAAAAATGAAAAGGAAGAGTTTCGAATGGTATTAGGTTCTCCTGATTTAAACATTTTCAGATACATACATGAAAAGTTACAAACACTGGTCTATTTTTACAAGGAGAATAGAGCTTTTAGTGGACATATTTTTATAGTTAATGAATAGCTGAGATAAAATTAGAATATCTTAATCAATAGCTAACATATGATTAGAATATTTCTTTCTTATTTGTAAGCTTTTCAGTTTTGCATTAGCATAATTACTTATTTGGTTCTTTTTGGCAGACTTCAAACCACATTTTTCTGGAGGGGGAAAGACAAAAACTGTACCAATAATTGTTGGAGTTGTAGGCTTTTGTCTCGTATTCTCAGCATTAGCTATCTTTTGGTGGAGATGCTATTTCAGAGTAAAGAAAAAAAGACAGAAAGGTTTGGCCTATTTCAGATGGATATTGTTTGCTTTGCATTGATAATTGTTAAATGTGTATGTGCTGCTTTAAATTTGACATCATGGGGACTGGGGTTTTTGTTTTGTGGCAAAAAAAGCTCTCTACAAATCAGACTTTTATAGTGCAGCCTCTTAGTGAAATATCAAGTTTTTTAGGTACTGTTTCAGTGTCTAACTAGTTTAGACTTCCTGCACCAATATCATGTCTATAATTTCCATATGCGAACTATGTCAAGTGTCAGCTACTTCCATGTGGCATAAGTTGTAAGTACTTAATATAGCAAGCTTTTGTTTTACCTGTATATTTATCTTTTGCCTTTTCTAAAGGTTTTTTTAAAGTTCTATGAGATTTGGTGGAGGGCTTTACGTTCTAACCATCTGGTTAGATGTTATATAAATGTTTATGCCCCCAAAGCATCTGCAATACTTGTACCGCTCTTTGGAATTGGTTCTTTCGCCAAGAGTGCGATATTAGCAGTTATAAAATAAAATCTGGCTTTCCATTATTAAGGGCCATTAAAAAACCTGTAGTTATACTCTTTACTTCATTTTGACCATGAATACTCTACAAGGCAAACGAAGGGGAACAGAAATTTCAGTACTATGTAATGGATATGATTTATTTTACCTGCTACGTGTTAAGACCTGCAATGAGTATGATCTCTCGAGCATATTAGGATTATGCTTGTCTCAGATAGTTGTTCATGGCACACTGTAAGCAAAAACACGAGATTGCTTGTTCAAGCTCATCTGGCTTGTCAATAAAGAAAACAAAATACATAGAGAACTAAAGCATCCAACATGTAGGTGTAATTAAAACATATGAATTCTCAAATTCCACTATACTCATATATCTGCGGGGGCCTTCGGTGTTCTTACAAAATAAACTTAAGGTTTTGGTTCAATATTCATTAAGTTGTTCAACCGATTTCTGTTTTGACAGGTCTTGAAGGAGTAGAAATCCAAACAGTGTCTTTTACCTTAAAGCAAATTAAAGCTGCCACAGACAATTTTGATCCTGCAAACAAAATTGGAGAAGGTGGATTTGGACCAGTTTACAAGGTATTCTCTAAGTATTCCGTCCTTTGATTGCCATGACGAAGCCATGAATGTGTATCTTGCTTCAAGGACTGAACTGAAGATAGTATTTTTCATGACTGCTGTGCAGGGTTTGTTACCTGATGGTACTGTGATTGCTGTGAAGCAGCTTTCTTCTAAGTCAAGTCAGGGAAATCGTGAATTTTTGAACGAGATTGGCGTGATTTCATGTATGCAGCACCCACATCTTGTAAAGCTTCATGGGTGTTGTATTGAAGGAGATCAACTATTGTTAGTATATGAATACATGGAGAACAACAGCCTTTCTCGTGCTTTGTTTGGTAAGTGCAAATATGTTGTAATATACAATAAAAGAAATTCTGGAATGTTTTAGTTTTCAAAAGCTTTGTTTCCTTCGATGATTATGAATAGGTCCAGAAAATCAACTAAGTTTGGACTGGAAAACGAGGCAGAAGATATGCATCGGAATTGCCAAAGGTTTAGCTTTTCTACATGAAGAATCAAGACTCAAGATTGTTCATAGAGACATCAAGGTCACCAATGTTCTCCTTGACAAGGATCTCAATCCTAAAATATCTGATTTTGGGTTGGCCAAACTTGACGAACGAGAAAAAACCTTCATCAGCACCAGAGTTGCTGGAACTGTGTAAGTCACTTCGTTCCTGCAGAAAGAAGTTTTAGTTCATATTCTAATGTTGTCTGGCTAAAATTTAGTTCTACATGATTTTGATATGCAGAGGATATATGGCACCAGAATATGCATTATGGGGTCGTTTGACATATAAAGCAGATATTTACAGTTTCGGAATTGTGGCACTGGAGATTGTTAGTGGGAAGCATAACATGAGTTGCGGGCCAGAGGATCAATTCTCTTGTCTTCTAGACTGGGTAAATCACAAATATTAACATCATCTTATTCTATTTCTTGAAATTTCTCTTAATGATCCATTTCAATTTTCATTTCCATTTCTCTTGGGTTATACTTACTCAACTCTTTATGGTTTTTGTTTTTATTAATCCCCTTAAGTGCCTTCATTCTCTTTAAATATTTTAGAGACATCTCTTCTGATTTGAACACCGTTGAATATAAAAATTTAACTCCAGCTAGGTCAATCAAATTCCTATAACAGAAGGACGGTAATGGGGATGTTTTTAGTTTTTACTAGTTTATTCAATTCATAATGTAAAATAGATTCTAATTACATGATTACCATTATAGTTATTAATGTATTATATAATTATTTGTATGGAAGCTTAAATCTGCTAAGTGCAAGATCAATTGTTCTTATCTTTGCTGCTATAAACTAATGTGGATTTCAGGCCTGCCATTTAGAGCAAAATGGAAACCTAATTGAGCTAGTGGATCAGAAGCTGGGATCTGAATTCAACAAGGTAGAAGCAGAAAGAATGATAAAAGTGGCTCTCTTGTGCGCGAATGCTTCACCAGCACTAAGGCCAATCATGTCTGAAGTTGTTAGCATGCTAGATGGAACTAGGATCATACCTGATGTGATCCCTGATCCAAATAGTGAAGATTTGAGGTTTAAGGCCATAAGAGGACATCGGGAACATATGAGAAGTAGTTTGAGAGCCAATCAGAACTCTAGTTCGACCTTAGACAGATTGGCCAACAGTAGTTCTTATGTGTGTACGAATGGTGATCTATATGAAACTGATACGGAGTCAAACTTGAGGTTTAACACGAGGAGCAAACGTTGTGAACAGCCGGAAAGCCCGAGCAAGGTTTCAACTTTAGTATCGTCAGTAACAGCCTCTTCCTCAGCTTCTGCTCATGATCTTTTGATATCAATATAAATTCCTGACAATGTACCTTGTTTTGCCACTAGCATAGTGTGATGTTTATAGAACTTCACTAAATGTACAAAAAATAGAAGATTTTGAGCCTTTTACGATCATCAAATTAATCCATCTACTGAATAAAAAATCTGTTGAAAGTAATTTATTTTATTCACTTCATTACTGCAGTGCTGTTCCAAATGTGGCCTTGTATGTGTTTTTACTTCTTCTTGGTGTCTATTAATAGTTAGTGCTTTCTTTATTTTTATTTACACAGTAATTTAGTAGACTCCTTTCTTTCAACTAATCTCTTTGCTTTGAAGTTTTGTTTATGCTATTATTAGGTGCATCGATGATAAGCAAGTATGGATGCGCAACTAAAGATGCATTTCCTTCAAATATTTTCTGTACTCAACCTCCTGCCACTGCCAAGACGTTCTTGTAAGCCTGGAAAGTGTGTCTCCCAGAAAATGAGGAAGTGGAGGTAGAGATGGTTAATAACAGGCAGGATTATAATAACCAGGTCATGCAAAGTGTTTTCTAGATAAAGAGCTGCTTTGAAGATTATTTTTCCCTTTTTGTTCACTCTTTCAAGTTTTGAAGATTATGTGGTTTGTTAAGTTGCCTATGAGTTTTGATTTTCTTGGTGAATCTTGTGCTTATATTGATGTCATGATGAAAGCTCTGGAAACCATTCATTTGGCATTGTCATAGAATTGCTTGGAAAATGGTATAGTTCTCAGGAAAATTGGTTCTTCTAATGACCTTTATTATAGGATCATTTTCTTTGACTGGAGGCTGGTTCAAGGCTTGCAGCCTCATGATATGGGTTTGCACCGAAAGAAAAACCTAACCAAAGCATGTAACATGAAAATATGATTTTATCAAAAACTTTGGTTTTAGAATTAATGGTGATGCAGAGATTCTAAAAAGTTTAAATGTTGTAAGGGAAAAAGAATTAAGAAAAAGGTTTTTGATCACATCTAATATTAAAGGTAACTAAAAATCAAGAAAGAGCATTGAATTTAGAGATTTCAAGTAAAAAGTTGATTATGTTTTTGGAAGATAACAATAACCTAAAAACACTTTTTTCGTTGGAAAGATATTAAGTTTAGTCTATGCCTAGGAATATCTTCTAAAAAATTTTATATGTCAAATTATTTCCTAAGTTTATTTTCCAAGTATTGATTTTTTTTTTTTTGTGACATCTTATTAAATTGACGTCGGGCTCCAAAGTTAGGAGTCACGTCAATTTAACACGAAATCTAATTTAAATCTTGATATAATTGGCATGTTAAGAAACGACCTACTAACTAAAGGTATTTTATTTAAGTATGGACAAGAAAATATTTTCCAAATTGATTCTTTTATTTATATCTTTTATTGTGACATAATATTAAATTAACTTAGGGTCCTAAAACTTAAGAGTCTCGTCAATTTAGCATCGGATCCAATTAACGTTCGACACGATTGACATGTTAAGAAGCTATCTAATAACTAAAAGTGTTTACGCGAACACTGAATTAAAATGGCCTATCATTTTCTTTTAGTCAAAACTAGCATAAACAAACATTCAAATATTAACACACTTTGATCATACATCAAGAATTTCAAGCAATCATAGCATAAACAATTTCGATAAGCTAGTTCATTTGCAATACATCGGAATCAACACTTATTCCAAATAATTCATGAAATAAAACTCAAAACTCATCCTTCTAGCTCTATCGCGAGCATTGAACCAATCTTATTTCACCTTAATATCTCGGGATCTTGGACCTTTTTGGACTTGATACACAATGGCATATCTAAATACACTTCGATCCAATCACATCACGTTCACATATTTAACTCAAACATACTAAAAAATTTAAATTACAAGAATAGTTTAAAAAAATATCCCAAAACAATTTTCAAATGATTGGATTATCCCAATGTTGCTTTGAAAATACCAATTTTACCCTTAGAATGGTAAAATTACCAAAATACCCTTTGATGTCTAAAATTATAGATTTATCCCTAGTGTGTAAAATGATAGAATTTCCCTTATGGTGTGTCTATTAACTTGCTAGTGAGCTCTCAACCTCCTCTTCTTTCTCTCACATATGGAGTTGGCGACTGTGGCATGTAGAGAGAGATCTAGACCACCTAAGTATCGATCGTCTTTCTTTTTTTCTCCTTTATTTTCTTACGAAATTGGAGCTGGTTTATTGTGATGGCAACGGTGAGGATTTTAGGTTTTGGGTGGAGTTTTAATAGTTGATTTGAGTGTTGGAAGGAGTGACTACTATAGAGAGGATGTGTGAAGGAGTGGTCGTGTGTTAGGAGTATGGTGATGGGTAGTAGTGTTCGATCTTTATTGGAGGTGGTGATGGTCGGTGGTCTTGGGTGGTTCGATGACGATGAAGGTAGTAGACATGGTGGTTAGTATTGTTTGTGCTTAGACCGATAGAGTTTGGAGAGGAGATTTGATTTTAAAAGGACATTTGGATAGTGGTAGTAATGGAACCCGAGAGGTTAGTGTTTGGAGAGAAGATCGAACTTGGAGGGCTTTAGTGGCTATGAGGTGTGAAGCTTTGCCTAGAGAAGGGTTGTATCTATGGCTGCTGGAGAGGAGGAGCTATGGTTGTTGATCCAAGTGAGGATTATGTTCGGCGAGGGTGGCGATGTATCTCTAAGGTCTGGAAAGGTTAAGCCACCAATTGCTAGTTTTTCTTTACTCGGTTACTATGGGCTACTATGGATGATGAGGATAGTGGCTAGTGAGGCTGTGTTGGGTGGAGATCGATGTTGATGGAGGAGAAGTAGATGATAACAAAAATGATGGTGAGGGATAACGGTCATGGTGATTTTTGGTAGAGTGACTGTTAGGGTTTTTGAGGAGGAAGATGGACCGTTTAGCTTGGAGAAGTGGCCAAGGTGAGGGTTACCGGGAGTGGAGTTACAATAGGTTAGTGAGGAAGAAGATGGTTGTAGTTTTTTTTTTTTTTTTTAGGGGATGAGTGAACGAGTCTAGCTTATGGGAGAAATACATAATTTTTTTTTTATGGGTATTTAGGGTTATGCATAACAATTCAACTTGGTCATCTATTCTTTTGTCTTTTCAATTTTAGTCATCGTCTCATTATTTTTTCATCAATCACATTCCTGATTGAAATGATTTAGTACTTTTTTTAATTTATTTTAAATTAAGGTCTTTGATTTTTTTTCCTCCAATTATACCCCTAATTGGATATTAATTGGTCCTTACCTTTCACATCGTTTTTAATTGGATCCCGAATCATCTTTTCAAATTTATTCTCTTTTCTTTATTCTTTTATTTTTTTCTTTTATTTTGTTTATTTAATTAAAATTAGAGAATAATCTCAATAAATTAAAATCCTAAAAATTTATAAAAATACCTAAAAATCATGAAAAAAACCAAGAATCTATAAAACATGTAATTTTTTTGAATTTTATATAAAAATAAAAATTTAGAGGAAGTTAAAAAAAGGTTATGATAGTTACTCCTTTTTTACAATGGTTATGATACAAATTCAATCAAAGTGTAAACTTTTGATTGACTTTTCTTAGTTAGCTTGTAAGGAAAAATGTTTTGGAGAAAAATATATGCCACTTGTTCCGTTGGTCATGTTCTCATGAGTGACTTGCCTTTTTGGTCATGTTCTCATGGGTGACCTAGCTTTTTTGATAGCCTTGTTCTTAAAGCAACCTACTCTTTTTTATGGTCTTGTTGTCACGATGATCTACCCCTTATTGCTGATCTTATTGTCATGGGTGACTTACCCCCTATTAATGGTATTGTCATCACGGACGACCTATCCCTGCTCGTTAGTTTTGTTGTCACGAGTAACCTACCTCATATTGATAATCTTCTTGTATGTATGACTTACTCCCCATCGATGGTCTTGTTCTTATAGCTGATTTTCCCTCTATTGATGGTCTTATTATCATAGGCAACCTATTTCTTACTAATGGTCTTATTATTACAAGTAACATGCCCCTCTTTTCATGGTCTTATTATCACGGGTGATCTTCCCTTACTAACATCTCATTGTCATGGGAAACTTGCCTTTTATTAATGGTGATCTGATTAAAAAATTAAATATACAAATCATTTTGGTTAATTGACTTTTTGAAAACGAGATTAGAGAAACAAACATTTGATAGGTAATTTGATCCAAAAACATTAAATAGATAAACTGTTTTGGATGATTGACTTTTTAGAAAAAGACTAGAGAAACAAACCTCGGATGGGTGATCCAGTTGAAAAAGATTAAATATATAAACTACTTTAGGTGATTAACTTTTTTTTTTTTTTAAAAAAATAAGATTGGAGAAACTAACTTCTCTTATAGGTGATTTGATAAAAAAGGACTAAACATACAAACTCGCTTTAGGTGATTGAATTTTTTGAAACAAAGTCGAAGAAACAAACCTCTATAATAGGTGATCCGATTGAAAAAGATTAAGTATTTGAATTGTTTTACATGATTAACTTTTTAAAAATGATATCGGTGAAATGAACCTATAATGGTTGATTTGATTGAAAAAATTAAATATATGAACCACTTTAGGTGATTGACTTTTTGAAAAAAAGATCGAAGAAACAAATCTCTCTAATAATTGATCCAATAAAAAAAGATTAAGTATATGAATGACTTTGAGTGATTAACTTTTTTTTAAAAAAAATAAGGTCGGAGAAATGAACCTCTCGATAGGTGATACGATTGAAAAAGATTAAGTATACGAACCGTTTGGATGATTTAATGAGATACTTCTTTGTCTTTTAAAAAAATACTTGAAGTTTGAGTGATCGAAATGGATTTTTCTTCTTGGAATGGCCTTCATGAAATATACCAAAAAAATTAATTGAATATATTAGTTTTTTATCCGTGAGAAATATAGACGACTTTTTTGTTGGAGAACGCCCAACTCCTCTTCACTATCTTGAAAGAGTGAATGTTGACTTCTTTTTATTTATGAGTAATTTCTTCATCTTTCACTTCTTAGGACTTGTATTGTATCGGCCCCGACATAGAAAACCCCTTTATTGCTCTTACTTTTTGGGTTATTTGTGATGTAATTTCATAACTTAGCCGGTAATTTCTTGCCTTTAAGTCAAGGTTTTTTTTAAAATTTTTTTTTTATCGGATGGATTACAAATCCTTTGGGATTGGGCTCACTTCTTTTTGTTTGGAAGAACTCGTCCTCGTATTATGATCCGCCTCCTAATTTGGTTGTTTGCAACTCGCTTTAATTGCTTGTTAGATTCTCGTTGAGTTGCTATCTTTTTTGAGACTACTCTTTTATCCACTATTTTGATTGCTTCGACTACTTTGATCAATTTTCAAATGCTTGCTAATTAGCCTCTCATCCCTTTAGCTAGCTTGATGATGTCATGCTTAGATTTTAAAAAGCCCAATACTTTTTTTATAGGTTGTTGGACTTGATTCAATTTATAAGATCATTAGCCTTGTCTTTAAGTGTTTTTAAATTTTATGAACTATCATTTAGATTGGATCATGGCATGACTCTAAGTACTCGGTTTAGATCATACATCTATCGTTATCTTCGCACAACCACTCGTTTGTATTCAATTTTCATCTTTTGAGGCTTGTGTCTTAATTTATAAAGTGGTCTTAAATTTTTCATCATTTTTCAAGAAAAATCATTGAAAACACATTTTTTCTTATTGATTAAGTCATAAACTTAAATAGTTCTCTTAAAGATAATTCAAATTTTTTAAAAGAAAAGTAGAGATATTCTAATAAAAGTACTTTCATTAATGAAAATGTTTAAGTCGATTAGTCAAAAGTTAAAACATAACATTCAAATGTTATGATGCAATTTCACCGAGATGATTATTGTTTTAGGCTATATGGGCAAAATGTGCTTGATTGATGTAAGATTTTTAGAAAAAAATGATTTTTGGTGCCATTGAAGGCAAATAATCAAAGTAGAAGTTCATTTTCATGAATGAAAAGGCTTGAACGAGAAAGTCTTTTAGAAAAAAATTAAACTGCGAAAGAAAATCTCACTTTGGATTATCTTGATTCTATTTTTTTTCTTACCCCTAAGTTATTTGACGAAAGTTTGTGACTCGATGTATAAAAGATGACAAGTAGCACACCAATCGGTCTTTTGTTTTTTTATCATTCTTAACCATTTTTCTTTTTCTTTTGAGATTAAAATTTGCTCATATAAACAAAATTATATTTGATTAGAAAGGGCTTATAAAAGTATGTAATGTAGGTTAAAGCTTAGGCTTATAAAAGAATGGATATATAAAAGCTTAAAAAGTGTTTGAGAGTTTTAAGACATAAGATCACTTTGTTGTTCGGGGAGATCTCATTTGGCAATATTGCCTTGACCTTGTCACTCTAGCCATTAGTCTAGATTTTTGTGTCGACTTGGCATTCATGAGATTTTTTTCTAAACTTATCACGTTGACTTTGCTATTTTGATTGTTGACCTTGTTTTTCTAGCTTTAACTCTTGTTATCTCGTTTTCTTGAATTTTGACTCTCATCTTGACTTTCAAGTTGCTTTGGGGAATGCTCTTCTTTCTTTTTTCTTGTTTTTCTTTTCTTATTTTTTTTTCAAATGCCTTTTATTTTTTAGAATCTTCGATGGGGTTTTCCTTAATAAGCTTTCAAAAAAAATTTCAGGAGTTTTATTGACCATTTATGAACTTCACATTTTGCCCCTAGTATAAGGAGTGAACCTAATATAGGTTATTATGAAAGAAATTATAAAAGCTTAAAGTGAGATGACAATAGATATAATTGTTTTTTAGATATATAAGGATGGCATTTAGTCATCTCAAATGCCGACAAATGCTAATCTCTTTTGCACGCAATAATTAGTCCGAAGAAATCTTGGGTTAACTTAAAAGAAGAAATAGTAAGTGTAATTTGAGATCATGACCCGAAGATACATTATTTATCATTATTTAAGGTACTAATCGTTTAGTCTTTCAAATTTAAGCTTCATAATGTTATCTTCGATAAAAATTTCATTTAAGGGTTTATTTGAGAGAGAAAAAAAGTTTCATTTTGGTTTCCACATAAGGAACAATTTCTCTCCTATTTTCTCGCTTAGAAAGGTTATTAGAAAAGGAAAACGTATTTTTAGCTTCAATAGAATGAGAGACTCCTCTAGCATCTATTTGTCGTATTTTGAAATTCGATCAATCTTTTGAATGTTTTGAATTAATTTGCTTGACTTTGCATCGCCGTATAACTTTTCAAACTCAATCGGTATTTTCCACGCTTTGTGTTGGCAATTGTATGGTTTCATAGTAGATTGCTTCAAGCGTTTGATGTACTTAGGTTTCCTTTTAAAGAGATCCAACCTCGCTTGATTAGAGACCTTACTCTTCTCTTGAAAGCCAAGTAATTCTCGATTTTATGACCTATTACACTAATATGATAGTTGTATTTCTCATCGGGATTATACCAATAAGGATATGATGACTGAAGTGGAGTTATAGGAACGGGATTGACTTATTTAATAGTGATGAGATAGCTACATAACTCAATTAATGAAACCAAAAGAGGAGGCAATAAATCTTGATACCTTCTACTACTATTTTAGAAATATAATCTTTGTGGACCATTGAAAGATTGTTGATTTTTTATTTGATGACTTTGTATTAGAAGTTAGTAGTTTGATGGTACATTGAAAATGTTGGAAGGAGTACTATTTGTAGGGGCAATGTATGCAACTAGGGTTTGATTATCAACATTTCTTGGTTAAGCATAGGAGTAACTCTAATGCCATTGATTATTTC